TGAATGTTCTTATTAACATATAGAGTCTTTTTTATTCACTGACGAATTTAGTTATAATCAAACCGAGAAAAGAGAGTCGCTGATTTCAAGTTTTTGGTTCTAAAATAAAGAAAACATCTAAACATCTCTTCTTTATTTAATATATAAATAAAATTGACCTGAACATTTTATTTGCTATATATTGTTTTTATCTGGCTATGATTATTTTTAGTTATTTTTAGTTTATTACGTTTTCGAAATATGTCATGTGATGGAATAAAAATTGGAGTAAAATATAAATATGAATTCAATTGTTATTTAATAGCAGTTTTGTGCAGCAAATTTCAAATGCATATTTTTGCAATAACTATTTTTTGTGAAAAAAAAACAAAATGCCATTAGTCGAAACTCCAATCAAAAACCTTTCAAATAGTAAAGCAAATACAGAAATAATTCATCACAGCTGAAATATAAATTTAACTATCAATATATATGGTAGTTACGCTTTGGACCATGTTGGTTTTGTTTGCTCCTAACTGCGTATAGCAGATAGTAAATTTGATGACGGCCGTTATTTTAAACGGCGATGCTATTTTTACGCGTCAAGTTTTTTTTGCGCGCAGAAGATTCCGAAAGGATTTTTTGTGCCAATACAAACATTAGAGCACGCAGGAACGTGCCCAACAATTTCTATAATAGGGATGTCAAGAATCGTCGATTTAAAATAATTGATATAATAATTTTTTTAATATATCAGAATATTATTAGGTCGTGCTGTCATCACATTGAATTATTAACTTCTCTTGTCTTGTCTAATTGTAACTATATTATTGATAGTTTAGACCTGAGGTTTTTAGGGGGAGGGGGAATTTGACAAAAAATTACGAAATATGACGTGGGGGAGGAAAGGGTATAGTTAGATTTCACGTGTATTTATTTTTTACCTGAATTTTAAAAAAAGTCAAAAATTTTACAGTTTTTTCAAGTAACTAAGATGTTTGGAGGGGGAGAGGCAGTAATTTTAAATATCACCACGTATCACCAAGGGTTCCAAAAATCTTTGAAAAATCGATCACGTGATTATTGGACGCCCCTATGGATTCTATAACTTGTTGCTGTTGTGATAATTCTTCTAACCAACTATATTACTTATTTAACGACATCACAAGTGGTCAGTGGTCTTTCATCTAATAGTGATGATATTTGATTATTAAAAAATTTAATATTTGAATATTTAATTTTTTGATTAATTTTGACTTTTTGCTGCAATGCACATTATCAATACAATTATGAATAAAATTGATAGATATAATTAGATATATTGGTTTAGAAATGGGTGAAAGCTAATTTTATATTGTACTGTATTTTTCTATTTTTTTTTTTCATTTGCATGTTTATGCTTTGAATTGAAAAGCTATTTAATTGCGTCGATTAGATTGATTCAAAATACATTCGATTCATATGCTGAGTAGTTTTTGACAAAGACAGGTCCACCGATTTAGGAGATACTGAGCTAAAACTGCTGAAGATTTTTTTTTATTTCATTTAATAATTACAACTATCTATAAAATAAGATATCTAGTAATTTTTTTGATTAATAAAATAGAAAGGGCATACCAGGCCGCCCAGTGGTGGTCCTGATATTATTGTTGTTAAGTAGTAGTTAATTTAGAAAACGGTTAAACTGAAATAGACTTGATCCAGGTAGTCTTATAAACTAATCAAATTAAACTATACATATTAGATTAAACATAAAATAATCTTCTAATCTTATCTAGTATTAAATCTAGAACTATTTATTAGTCTACATTATTTCTAGACGATAACTTAAAAACCTTATTGTGCTAACTAAATAAGTTTTGTTCTCTTCTGCCTGTATTTGAAAGTTGTATCATATAATTTGGCTGCAAGTTCGTACTGCTAAAGATGACAATTTTTGAGAAAATGGAGCATCCGATTTGAATGATTCAAAAAATATTTTGCTTGTGTTGACGGAATGAAGAATTTGAATTATGTAGAGTGTAGACAGATAGAGTGGTAGACTGACAAACTGATAGCCAGTTTGGTGAACAAGTAGAAAGGGTAAGTAGGTGGATACGTGGACAGGTAAACAGGTAGACAAGCAAATAGGTTACACGGTAATATATGTAGGCGGTGGACAGATGATCAAGCTTGGTAGATTGGTAGATCAAGGTAGATTGGTAGATCATGAATTAAAAATAAAGTTATTGGTCACATGAGTTATTTATTTACTTTTATAGGAAAGTTCATGCAACCAGGCATTAGGCAAGATGCCGCTTACAGCTAGTTTAAAAGTGCTGTTTTAACACTGCTAATTTTATTACTGTCTAATCGTCAAAATTTGTTCTTTGTGCCCACCGATACAGTTATTTAAAATTAAATTAATGAAATAAGAAAAAAAAACATTTATTGAATCTGCAAAATAGTATAGTTATTAGTTCGTATACTTTGACTTGGTCTGATATTTTAATTCAATGATAAATTGATTTAAAAAAAAATTCTTTCAGTAAGTAATTGTTATATGTGAAATTTGCATTCTAGTATTATGATTTAGAAATAGATAGGCAATTATTTTCTTCGTTTTAGTTAAAAATAGCGTGCTTAAATATTGTCATTAATTTAAAATTTCACTATGGTAGTATGTTTTCCTATAATACAGACAGAAAAAATCTAGTTTCTTCTGTACAGCACAAGTCCATAACACTAGTTCGAATGTTTGACATAAAAAACTATCGAGTTTTTTTTCACGTTCGAATCCATCTATTGACTCGACATATCGTGTTTTATAATATCTCGGTCTAGGTTCGTTTGATATATCTAAAAATACATGGAATAATAATTTATTGCAGATTGGAATTCACGCAAAATAGTTCAACACTATAATTTTTTCTGAAACGCAGTTTTTGTAATTGAGTTCTTGTCACAATTTCGTAACAAAAAAATGTTAATAAAATACTATATTAAACATACTTAATTCTTTATTAAACTAAAATACTTAATGTATAGTACATTTTATTAAACCTATTTATTATTAATGTTAAGTTAATACTAGTGCATTTTAATACTAGTTCAAAAATACATAAAGTGAAGAAGTATGTCAGACAATAAGAAAACACGGTTGCAATTCATTTTTAACATTTATTTTACACAAATTACTCGATTGTAGCATATGCAATATTAGAAATTATAGAAAAATAAATTGATTGAGTTTTGTTTATTCACTTTTCTGTAAACATTTATAAGTTGCAGTATTTATAATAATCTATTTGAAAACATTTAATATGCCTCGAATATCTAAGTACGGCACGTGAAGTTCCAGCAATTTGCTTTAAGGCACGATGCCATACACCACTAGTTTACTTTAGTCATTAAACAATAATAAAATAGTAGCATTTAATGTTCTCATATTTATAAAATTGTCAACTTTAGTTGCATCTAGTTACAAAATAAGAATCCTATTTATAGCTTCTTCCGGCACTAAAATGTTTACCATAAATTTTCCTCGAAAGAACGTAACTAAATTACCATGCAAAATTTACACGTGAATCGCTCTTGAATGCTTAATTTTCTTTATCCCATGGGCAAGATTTAAAAAAAGCAAGCGTCGATTTTACATCACTCATAATAAAAAATATTGACATTTTATGCAAGAAGATTGCATTCAAGTCAGGATTCATGATAGATTCATTACGCTTCTGTTAAGCTTTACGACGGGCAAAATGATAATGAGATAAAATGAGAGGATTTCTAGGCAAAATTCTTGCTTCATCATACTTTATTATCAACATATGTTTTAGGGCTAATGTTAGTATGCTGATATTGCCTTTTCATGGATTTTGTCATATATTTTAGACCAATTGTCCTAATAGTACTTTTTTAGGTATTTCTTATTAGACATATTTGACATCATACAAAGTTTCACATAATGTAACAGTATTGCTCTCAAAGTAATCTTTCTGGCTTTATAAGATATTATTAATTAAACTAATGCTTTATAATATTAGATTCAGGTGAAACATTTTGCCTTGCTACGTATATTGCACAATATCACCAAATACTGTAGGTAGCGTTTAATTGCAAATCTCTGGGATATTCTGTCCTTTGTGTTTCATACTTGGTCGTCCAGTATGTTCAGTGTTCATCGGATAAATGAAGTTACGTTATTATTCAATAAATTACTTTAATGGGTAGCAAGATCATACTTTATATTCTAATTAAAATCATGGTATATATTGTTACTATAAATACTATAAATTATAAACATAATTCAATACTATAATAATTAAACTTGCATCTAAAACAAATAAAATAACGCATTATATTAATTTTTTTTGTTATGTTTTTGTATATTTTTGTTAATAGTTTTTCATTTAACCAAATCATTTTAATCAACAATTTAGGGGGCGTATAGCAAATATAATAAATAATATGTAATTAATAATTGGCTGTGAGTACAAGTTACCAGTTTGTGAATAATGAATATAATTGGGTAAAATTAGTTTTGTATTTGTAAATTAGTAAATAAAATTCAGTAGCTCTCAAATATGAGATTATTGTCCTCTTGATGCAATCTTGAGATAAATATGGATCTAGGCTATTGAATCATTTACCTAAATAATATAGTTTCTATAATTTTTTTTATTATACGTAAAAGATTTACCATATAGGTCCGTACGGACATTTAGTAAATATATTGGTATAAATTAAATGTAGAGCTGTAATCGAAGCAGATTATCTGTGTGAGTAACCTATGTTACGTTTCTATAATAATTATTTTAACTAGAAAATTTGTACCGAAAAAATGTGCATATAAAGTTTCAGATCATCACCAACCCCCTCCCCCGTTCTCACACACACTATAATCCGTCCCGGATTTTATGCAAAATAATATGGTCACCTTACTTCAAATAGTTTATCTCCAATGAGATATCTCATTTAAGTTCGTATGGCCATTTTTGTTCTAAAATTGAATTAATTTTTCAATATTTGTTATTTGTCAGCAGGATGTCAAGGCAATCCAGATGCAAAGCGATTGTACGATGATCTTCTATCAAATTATAATAAGCTCGTGAGGCCTGTGGTAAATGTTACTGATGCTCTCACAGTCAAGATCAAATTAAAACTTAGTCAACTTATAGATGTGGTGAGTAATCTATTCTAATTTTATTATCCTAATGTAATAATTTTCAATAGTTAATATTTTTTAAATTATAATCTAATTTATTGCATTCATTGTAATACGATAACTATAACGTAAAGATTCCAATTTATTTATACATACGCCCCCCGTTAAAAAAAACTGTCGCGTCGCTTTCATTGTTCTAACAGTCTAATTTCATAAATACTCCGTTGGTTTTTATAATTTATTTATCGAACTACAAAAATATGAACTGTATAAGGAAAACATATATAAATAACATAGAATTATTTATACATTAATTTTTTGACACCATTTCGACGTTTTTGGTTTGTATTTAAAAATAACATTTTGGAAAAAACTTCTTACGTATCGACAGTCTCGAGCGCCACAGGTTGAAAATCTCTATATTACATATTATTTTATTGGTATATAATATATAATTGTGTTGTTCCTTATCTAAAGAAATATATGTTTTAATAGCTCTAACAGAAATCTATCAACTTAAATAATAAAGATCTAATTTATTCTGATTTTTTTATTATGGTGATACTTGTACATTACAATTTGATCTTTTTTAGGGCTACTGATTGAAGTAAGACTGTCGATTATAAAGAAACTAAAATTTACCCTAATAACTAATATAATAAAAAATACGCATCAGATTTAACTGATATCATAATTCATGTTGGAAAAAAAAAATTTAATTTTCTTACTAGCATAGTTATACCATAGCAAGGTGCCAGAATAACTTTTAAATGATACCAGGTTCTGAAACTGTTGAAATCCAAATGAGAACTTTTAGTATACAATATTTATATTATAATATTTATAGAAAAACACCTAGGAAAAGCTATGGCACTTCTTTAATCTTTTAGTTTTGTGAAGTAACTTAACTTTGCGGAATAAAAAAATCTACCAACTTGAAACAGTATGACAAAATTTATTTTCTACTGTAATAAAATTGCATAAAATAATCCTGCATTGCTTCTAAGTCGCTAGTGCAAATGCTAGTTAGGGTTACCTAATTTTGTGAATAAAATAATAATAAATTTACGTTATTTGCCAAGGACGTAAAATTCTTCTTGTTATTAAGCATAGGTACCAATTATTCTTAGTCAAGCAGACAATAAATGTATTTTCAGCAAGTCAAAACTTTAGATTTGATTAAAAAGTATCTCGATTAATGCTTTGCTGTATATTTAAATCTGAAGCTACTATCCTCATAAATAGTGTATCAAAATGTTTCAATTCCATTTTATTTAGGATCTTTTACTTTTTTTATGCCCACAAGTGCCGCAAAACAAACAAATTCCATAATCCTGCAACATCATGTTGACGGCTATAACCCTTAGTCGATGTTGTAAAAAGTGCATTTGCTCGCTCAATCTTTAACAGAATTCTCGTTCGATTGAAACTGCTGATCTGCTGCCGTAAAAACGGTATTTTTATCGAACATCTTATCCAAACATGATTTTCCATTCTTTTATAAAGCTTTGAACAAACTCATGGACGGACAGCCGTTCTTTTTATTCCTTTTTTACCGATACTCATAAAATAAACTTATGAAATGAAAATTGGAAATGCATTAGATTCATACAGTAAAGCATTTCTTTGGAGCAATGTCTTGTAGAGAATGTATTTTCTTGGAATAAAAATTCGAATATATCAATGGAGGAATTTATATGACTGTAATTAGATGTACTTAATGAAGTTGGCTTCAAAATTGAATAGAAATTAAAAATATTGAGATTTGTTTTGATGTTTTTAGAGCACAATTTTTTAAGAATGAATGAGTATGAATATCGTTAAATGCAGAATCTATTTAATTTGCAAAAGTGATATAGGTTGCAGCAATTGCATAAGTACATTTTGCAAAGTGCTTTACCTTGATTACACATAGTTACTGAACTATATCGTACTAATTAATCTTAACTGACCCATATTTATATCTTATAAATATAAATAAATACTAAAAATATATAAAATAGGTAAATACAAATTTACCTGATTTCTGATAAACGCGAAAAAACGGTTAGTTTTTTAGGCAATCTTTAATTTGCCAAATTTTGAACTTCCCGTACGGCAAGTTATAGTAGTCGCAAAAAAGTCGAAAATGAAAATTTTTATATATCGTTACGTTTCAAATATTTCTGAATATTTTACCTTAGAAAAAATAGATGTATGTGTGTGTGTCTGTGTATGTATGTGTGTGTATGTGTGTGCGGATACAAATTTTCGTCGACGATTTCGGGAACACCGATCAACCGATTTGAATAATTCAAAAAACATTCGATTTGTATTGATAAGGAGACGTGCTGATTAGTTTTTGGCGAAGGCAGGTCTAGCCGTTCTAAAAATACGGGGCAAAAATTGCCAAAAATGGTAACTCAGTTTTTAGGAGAACGCAGCGTCCGATTTTAATCATTCAAAAAACATTTTACTTGTATAACAAGTAAAGAATTGATCAAATTTTCATAAAGGCAGGTCTAGCGGTTTAGAAGATCTAATGAAAAAAGTAAAAAAAAAATGCCATCTGGCGGTCAAAAATGATTATTATACATATGCACATCAAATTATCAGATATTTTATAGAGATTTTTACAATAAGTATGATTTTTGTTTACATTCCTATCTGTTCCGTACCAATGTTTATTCGTTAGACGGCGACGCGGCGCTTACGCGCTTTGACATTTTGTCTCTATGCAGTTAAAGCAGTACGATTGCTTTGAAAAAAAGTTCAGAATTTCCAAAATATGTCAAAATAAAGAAAACATCTTTTTTCAAAAAAATTTTTTGTTTTCAAAAAAAAATGTTTTTTTCAAAAAAAAAAAATTTTTTTTGTCAAATTTATAGTTTCTCAAAAATCTAATATTTTCGAAGTAATTTTTTTTCAAAAATGTTAATCGTTTTTAAAAAGATAATAATTTTTTACGGAAAGTTCCAGCAATTTGCCATAAGGCACGATGCCATGCGCCCCACTAGTATGTTCTTTAATTTATATTTAAAATTTTATAAGCATAAGGCTAGAATTCTGCTTAACTACGAAAATTGAACAGCAGTCCTTTAAAGCGCCAATATGGAAATGTTAACAATAAGATTTCATTCCTCTAATATTATGATAACTAAATGTGATAAAGTAATACCATATCAAAAAATCAAGATAAACAAATTTCTAAACTCATTTTTCTTTGAAAGCTAGGAGTTACCTCGTCAGATTGTGTAGATGTACTGTCAGTACCAGTTTCATCAAAAATTATTTCGCTAATGTTATATATATATATATATATATATATATATATATATATTTATATATATTTATATACCTAATAATCCAATATATCCAATTTGGTATATACCTCGATGCAGCAAAACTTTTTTGTTTTTAGTTTTCTGTAAAATGTTGATTTTTGTTTTATATTGTTTTTTTGTTAGATTTAATTTCGTACATCTAAATTTGCCGTAATTTATAGTACTGTAAATTGTTATGAATATAAATATTGGATCAATAAAAATCCAATTGGTTGGTTTCTAAATCAATATTTCAATACTTTTTTGTATTTTATAATTGAAAGTTGTGTCTATACGTTATCTACAATTTAAATTTATACTTATCAGCCGCACATATTGAATTCACATGAATATTTTACATCTAACATGTCTAGACTTCATGACTTTGGGGAATAGGTTCATACGTTTCAGAGATGAGGCCGAAAAAGTTCAAAATATAACGTTTTGATTTTTGAAACATATTTTCAAATTATTAGTAGGAATGAAAAATATGATTTACTGATATATCAACATTAAGTGTTACTGAATTACGTAACATATTTGGTTTCTTTATTTAATTAAAAAAAATAATCTTATGTTTGTAAAAATTGTTAATTTTTATGTTTCCAAAAGGTTTCAAATTTTGCTTGCAAGAACGCGAATTTACGTTTATTTCAATAATTTTTTTATTGTCATAATTTTTACAAAAATAATGCTTTATATAACCTTGATCTGAAATTAATCAAAAACTATTGTTGTATGACATCGTGCCTTATGACAAATTGCTGGAACTTCCCGTACTGTAACGAAATGTTCGAGCATTATTAAATGTTTTCAAATAGATTATTATAAATAATGTAACATTGTTTAATATTTATTATTTATTTAAAGTATATAAGTAAACTTTAGCACTTTAGCGAAAATTAAAATTAAATTCTGAATTATTTTCGATATACAAAAAAAATTATAAGAAAAATTGAAATTTTTTTTTCCAAAATCAATTATTTGCCAACACAAGCAGAAAGTATTTTGAATCATTCATATCGGACGCTTAGCTCTCTCAAAATCTGCGTTTTTTTACATTTAGCCTTGTATCTTTGGAATGGTTGGACCTGTCTTTGCCAAAAACAAAGCACCACTTCTCCTAATCATTACAAATTGAATACTTTTTGGATCATTCAAATCGGATAATTCGTTCTCTCAAAAACTCGATTTCTATTTTATGCACTCTTTGCTCCATATCTCCGTAACGGCTGGACCTGCCTTTGCCAGAAACCAGCCTATCTCCTAATCAACAGGAATCGAATTTTTTTAAATCATTCAAATCGGTTGATTCGTGCGCCCGAAAACTTGGACGAAAAAATGCGGACACACAAAACACACACACACATCTATTTTTTCTGAGGTATGCCAAAATGTTCAGTAACCTTCAAAAGGTGAAGATATGCAGAAAAAATTTTTCTCGATTTTTGGCCCATTACTATAATTTATCCTACGGGAAGTTAATGTTTATCAGCAGAGTTGAAATAACCATTTTACTTAATTTACTTACTCGTATATTTGCTTGGTTTAATTTACTTTACATTTTATTAAAGGTTTAGATGGTCTTTTTTACCCCACCCCTCAATTAATCAAAGTCAAATTAGACTTTGTGCCCCGTCTCAAAACCTATATTAAAATACCGCAAACTAAACAACAGTGCACATAATATGAAAAACAAAACAATAAAAGAAAATA